CAGAGATGCTGGAGTGCACTGCTAGCCTGAGCTCTAACACAAAGAGGGTAGCGCAAGTGTGTCCCTCTTTTTGCTGTTATCAGTTTGGGTGTTTCACTAAGCCCTGGTCTTCAGAGAATCCTGTATGTGGTCACCAGCTTCATCTGGGCCAACTAGTTGTAAAGTATCAGTCTTTAAAAGCCTCATTTAACCAAGGTGAGCACCTCCCTATGACTGCGCCCACTTACCACTTTGCTTTGTATTAATCCTAGCAGATCCTCAGAGTTGCTGGGTGGTTTGGTAGTTTATCTTCTAGCCAGAATCTCTAGAGATGTGTAGGGGTTGGAAGAAGGAGGGATGTTGGAGGAGAGATGTAGTCTCATGTGTTACTACTTAGTCTCAGCATCCTGACCTTTAGATATTGCTATGTAGACTTAGGACCATATTTAGAGGGCCTCTTCTTGTGTTGTGATGTTTTTGGAGTCCAAGGGGGAGATTTTCCCTTGAAAGCGTCAAGGTCTTCTGCTCTTTGCACATAGTGTGCCGCAGAGCTCTACACCCAGACCGTGCCCTGGACAACCACAGTGACAGTGAAGAGGAGCTTGCTGCCTTCTGTCCCCAGGTATCTTCGTATGGAAGCTGCTCCACTGGCCTGCTCTCTTAATTCTTCTTTCTCCACCCGGCAGCTCACATTTAGATGGTAACCAGGTTTTAAGCCCATCAAGGACCCTCAGACCCTAGATTCCCATTACCCTCAATAGCAGTGCTGAGGAGAGAACCCGGTGTTGAATGGGGCCCTAGAATTCAGTTTGAGTCTGGTGAACAGCACGTTCACTTGGGTTTCCTTTTACTTTACCATTATGGAAAAACCTGGAGCTGACATAAATCTTTATGGAGCCAGTGTGCCTAGAGGTTTGGTTAATAAGTCTATTTTTCTGGTTACCTAAGAGTGCCTGAGCTCAAAAGGTTGATGAGAAAGAATGTTCCCTTTTGAGAACCAAACAGGAGCCAGGGTTGTGGGTGCAGCTCCCATCTGCTTGGTTTCACTGGGGGCTTGGGTATCTTCTGGGGTTGCATCAGTAAAGCGGATTGCTGATGGCATCATCTCAGACTTGTTGGTGGTTTCTTTTTGTAAGCTGGATGATTCTACTGTGGCCAGGGAATTGGCTATCACAGATTCGGAGCACTCTGACGCTGAGGTCTCCTGTACAGACAACGGCACATTTAATCTGTCAAGAGGCCAGACACCTCTAACAGAAGGCTCTGAAGGTGAGAACCTTTGACCTGAGTTGATACTAACTCTGACTTTGGCATTGTAGCTTCCTTGGACCAGGGGGCTTACTGTTGCCCCCTCCTCTTCTGGGTTGTGGCTCAAGTAGCAGAGTCACCTGAGGGTGTGGTATGACCCCCATGGTACTGCTGCTTTTCTTGAAGCCCCCAGTGCCGCATTAGTCTTTGCCTCTAGCATCCTGGACACAGTAGAGGAAGACAGAGTTCTCTGGCAATTAGTAGTCATGGCCATCTGAGTGATGAGAAAAGCTGACCGGTCCCACAGGTTCTGCTGTATCTTAAGAAATAGAGGGTGGGCCAGGTGGTGGTGGCACACGCCTTTAATCCTAGCACTGGGAGGCAGAGTCAGGCGGATCTCTGTGAGTTCAAGGCCAGCCTGGTCTACAGAGGAGATCCAGGATAGGCAGCAAAACTACTGAGAAACCCTGTCTCCAAAAAAAAAAAAAAAAAAAAAGAAGTGGTAGTAGTAATGCTGGGGGTGGGGGTGGTGCACGCCTTTATTCCCAGCACTTGGGAGGCAGAGGCAGGCAGAGTTGGGGGCCGGCCTGGTCTACAGAGTGAGTTTCAGGACAGCTAGGGCTACACAGAGAAACCATGTCTTGAAAAAAACAAAACAAAAAGGTACAGGGTAGGGACACCTGGTTATGTAGGGGTTGACTTTTTGTGGGTCTGGGGCACGAGTAGCTACCATGTTTCACATATCCTTGTCCTCTCAGACCTAGATGGTCACAGTGATCCGGAGGAATCATTTGCCAGAGACCTTCCAGACTTCCCTTCCATTAATGTGGATCCTGCTGGCCTGGATGAGGACGACGACACCAGCATTGGGATGCCCAGCGTGATGTACCGCCCCCCACCAGGGCCTGGGGATAGCCAGGTCCTGCCTGCTCGTCGGGAAGAGGCTGCACTGCCAGAGCTCCTGCTTGGGTCCCTGCCTGGAGGATCTAACCTCACCAGCAACCTTGCCAGCCTAGTCTCCCAGGGCATGATCCAGCTGGCCTTGTCAGGGGCCTCCCAGACAGACCCTTCTGGCCCACCTCCCCGAAGAGCAACAAGAGGCCTCCTCCGGGCCCCTAGTTCAGACCTGGACACTGATGCTGAGGGAGATGATTTTGAACTTCTGGACCAATCAGAACTGAATCAGCTAGACCCTGCCAGTTCCAGGAGCCACTGAGGAGAGACTCCTTTGAGGGGGTCACTGTGATGTAGGGTTTTTTTTCTCCCCACCCCACTTACTGTGACGGGGCAAGGGAAGAACCCATTCTTGTCCCCTGAATTTTATTTGTGCATTGGGTGGCCTGGCTGGTGCAGAGGCCTGCCGAGAGAACATACTCATTACCTTGCTGCCAGCTAGACACCATTTCTGTGCTTAGTCACTGACGTGAGGACGCTCGCTCCCTCAAGAGAGACTTCGCTCCATTAGGGTGGCACTACACACGGGCAACCGAGGAGGGATATTGATTCCCCTTGAGGAGTCAATATCGAGGTGGTAGTGCTGTTTGCTTTTAGGTCTGGGTGCTCAGGGGTGCTCACTGATACAAGAGCCCATCTTTTCTCCACCTCATGGGAGCCACAGAAGTCAGGCAGCAGCTACAGGAGTTGTCATTTTTGTCTTTTACCGTGATTTGATTTGTGTTCTCAAAGCAAGTTTGTGCTTTGGTTCTGCAGAGCAGGCCCACTTCCTGTCCCTGAGCCCATCTTCATTTCTCCATGGCTGACCCTCAGCACTGCAGAGTGCTTGCAGAATTGAAGAAATGTGAACTTGAGGTGGGGCGGAGCCTCTTCTATGTCACCTTGAGCTATAGGATCAGATGGCTGGTAGGGTTGGTGAGTGCCTCTCTGTCTTGAGGTCTCATGGAATCTTTTGGAGCTGTGTGGTTGTCTTTGGTGCTGTTAACCCCTGGCTCCATTTGACCATCCATCTGAGCAGTGAGTAAAGCAATATCATGTCCATTTTTATGTTCCTGTTCCTTCCCCTGCTCCTCCTCTGGAGAAGCAATATTCCACAGGGAGTGGCAAAGTAGCACTTTACAAATGGCTGTGGCATTCATCCCAGGAGCACCAGCTCTTCTTGCACCAGCTCTTCTTACCATACTGCTTCCTAACTCCTTTAAGGATGAGCCCAGATAGTAAGGATACGTTGGTAATAAGCAGAGACCCCTCTGAAGGGTATGTGTTCTGCAGTCCCTAGTCAAATCATGTGAAACAAAAACCCCCTAAATGATCATTGGTTCTAACTCTGCCAGCCTACTGCCTCTCTGTCTCCCAAATCAGAGCTCAAGCCAAATTCTCCACCCTCTTTCCCTCTTGCATTAACCCTTTCTGATCCTCAGGGACCACTCCCCCAGCACCCCCATATTTGGGTGAGGGATGTTGGACAGAGCCCATTTTCATGTGCTGCAGGTTGGGGGTTGTGCTAACACGTTTGCTCTTGGTTGATGGACAAGGTACAGAGGCCAGGGAGTGAAAATACTTAACAGTGAGAAGGGGAACGGCTAGGTGCCTGTTCCTAGTCATTGAGAGTGAGAGTTAGGGGCAATGGCATCTTCCCATTTTAGGGTTCTCAAATGCTCTGGATATCTCTTTCCTTAGAGCCAGATGTCCTACAGGTGAGCTCCATGTGGACAAACATGGGAGGTGAGGGAAAGGAGTGGGATTTCGAGTGTTGCATGAATGTGTGTAGCTTCATGCCTGGGGAGTTGGCAAGAGGAAGAGGGAAGGAAGGAGAGCAAAATCCAGGAGGTCTTTCTTGTGCCCGTGGGATCCTGCTCTGAATCTCCTGAATCCTCCACTGTGAATTGGGGGTGGGATGGGGGGTGCTGGGGAATAAATCTTGTATGAGAACAATCTTTAAGGCTGCTGTTGCTGGTGTACTCCTTGATAGGTCTTCTATCACTAATCTGGTAATAGCTAATTTGAGGCAGTGACAACCTCAGAAAAGGAAACCCAGGTAGGTGTCGGGGCCACCTGCCCCTTCCTGTTTTTCCCTCATGAAAGCACTTCACCTCCTACAGCCAAAACATAAATACAGCACCCTTTCTGGCATTTGTCCCATCGTTTTTTTTTGTTGTTGGTTTTTTTTATTTTTTTCTGGAGCTGAGGACCGAACCCGGGGCCTTGTGCTCTACCACTGAGCTAACTCCCCAACCCTGTTTTGTTTTTTCTTTTAGATTTATTTTCTTATGTATATGAGTACTTTGCCTGCGTGCGTGCGTGCGTGCGTGCGTGCGTGTGTGTGTGTGTGTGTGTGTGTGTGTGTGTGTACACATGAGTGCGCACTTGCCTGGTGCCTGCTGAAAAGGGAGATCTGGAATTGGAGTTAAGAATTAGGAGCCACATTGGTGCTGGGAACCAAACCAGTGTCCCCTGCAAGAAAAGCAAGCGCTCTTAACGGCTGAGCCATCTCTCCAGCCTCGTTATTCCATTTTTAATTATTTTTTATTTTTTTCTTTTCTTTCTTCGAGACAGGGTTTTTGTAACAACCCAGACTGGCCTCAAACTCACAGAGATCCTCCTGCTTCTGCCTCCCGAGTGCTGGGAATTAAAGACGTGCGCTACCACTGCCCGGCTTTTTTTTTTTTTTTTTTTTTTTTTTTTGGTTTTTCGAGACAGGGTTTCTTTGTGTAGCTTTGCGCCTTTCCTGGAACTCACTCTGTAGACCAGGCTGGCCTCGAACTCACAGAGATCCGCCTGCCTCTGCCTCCCGAGTGCTGGGATTAAAGGCGTGTGCCACCACCGCCCGGCCGCCCGGCTTCATTTTTAATTCTTAACACTGCCCCTTAAATGGAGACATGTTCTGAACAAAGGCTAATTGAGTTTTAGGTAGCAGAAGGCCTGAAAAATTAATGCTGTGCGCCCTTCCACGGGACTCCGAGCTGCAAGGACAGCTGCTCTTTACCTTCAGCAGACCTCAGAAACTAGAAATATTTATTTCAGGCTCCACCGGACTGGCCCCTGTGGTCAGGGATGGAAAGCACCTGTCAGGTGTTGCTGCCTGGGCTAACTGGCGACTTTGAAGCCTGTGGCTTGAGTAGCCTCTGCTCCCAACCGTCTTTCTGGGGCTTGAAACCACAGCTGGCGTCGAGCGCCCCCTACAGGCGACGCAGGGAAGCGGGCGTTGGTAGAGTGCTTGCCGAGTACCCACAGCCCTCCTGCGGGGGAGGACGAGCCACGCTCCGGAGGGTGACTAGCCCGGTGACCTTGAGCGGGGCGGGAGTTGGAACCCTCGGGTTTCTTCCCGTCCCGACGCCACCTGGGCCTAGCTCGAGGTCACGAGTGCTCGCACGGCGGCTGAAGGTGGAAGGGGCCGCTCACCGCAGCCAGCGCGCACGGCCCAGGAGCCGGCCTACCGCGGCGGGCGGAGCTACGGCCGGAAGGTTCGGGCGCTTCTCCGGAAGACTTCTCCCGCAGCCAATCAGCGTTGAGACCTTCACCGGAAGGCGGTGTCTCCCGGAGCAACCAACCGGACCACGGCCTTGAGTTCGGTGGCGGGAAAGGCCATGAGTAAAAGCCGGGCCGAGGCTGCAGCCGGAGGTAACGGCGGCGCCCACGGGGCCCGGGAGGGGAGCGGGCGAGGGGGTCAGGGGTGACCTCGTCTCCCACCTCGTCTCCCGCAGCCCCCGGGATCATCCTGAGGTACCTGCAGGAACAAAACCGGCCCTACAGCGCCCAGGACGTGTTCGGAAACCTGCAGAAGGAGCATGGACTGGGCAAGGCGGTGAGACACCCCCACTTAGGGGGGTTCCCTCCCCGCTGAACTCCCTTGTCAGGCTTGGGTCCCCTTTTCCCTGTCACCAGCGGAAATCTAATTGCCCCACCCTCCCCTCGGCCAGGCGGTGGTGAAGGCTCTGGATCAGCTGGCCCAGCAAGGCAAGATCAAAGAGAAGACGTATGGCAAGCAGAAAATTTATTTTGCCGATCAGGTGAGAACTTCCGCAGATTCTCACTCCCTCGTTAGCGTCCGCCTGAGAACCTGTCTGAGTGAATCAACTCCCAGCATTTAACTAGTTAGGAGTGTTGAGGCACCTCACGAAATTAACCCAGCCTGTGCCGTAAAAGGGCTTCAGACATTGTGAAATCAGGTATACACTGCCTGTGGTCACACTTCGTCAGCGTTCATTTGGGGTATGGACAGACAGAAGACCCTGGCTTGTTACTCCTCCCAGCCTCATTTCTGCGTGGAAGATCTGTCATCGTCTAGCCCCACCCTCTCCCAAATGCTTTTCTTCTTCCTCTGCCCACTACCCCAAACGCGTCAAATTTGTATTCTCCCACCCAGACTTCTCTCTGGATGCCTCCCAAATATTAACTATCAGTATCAATATGGCCAAAGAAGAATGCTTAATTCCTGCCTCCCTTCTCCCTCCAAACTGGCTTTCTAGCATTCTTTTCTAGGGGAACCACTTTTTTCCCAGTTCTTGGGTTTGTTTTTTTTTTTTTTTTTTTACCTCACATGTCTGACAGTATGGTCATTTACCAATTACATCTGATTTCCCCCCTGACCCACCCCCTTTTTTGGAGGGCAAAGGGTTGAGACTGGGTCTCACTATGTAGCCCAGGCTGGCTCAAGTTTTTTCCGTTTTTGAATCTAACTTGTCTCCGCTGCTGTCTAACAGATTTCATCTTGGATATTGTAGCCAGAATGATCTATCTAAATGCAAATCAAGGGCTGGTAATATGGCTCAGGAGCTTCACTGTATTTTTAGACCTTTTGAGGCATTTCGTCTATTCAGCTCTGTAAAACAAGAGCAACCATAGGAGATATAACTGAATGGACATGGCTTTTTTTTTTTTTTGCTTTTTTTTCCCTTCGAGACAGGGTTTCCCTGTGTAGCTTTGGAGCCTTTCCTGGAACTCACTCTGCAGCCCAGGCTGGCCTCGAACTCACAGAGATCCTCCTGCCTCTGCCTCCCGAGTGCTGGGATTAAAGGCGTGCGCACACCGCCCATCTGCAGGAGTTTTTTTTCCATGAAGGATTTGACTAGCGGCTCCAGTTCAGATTCGCCTTGCCCGAGTGTGCAGTCTAAAGTGCCTGGTCTGGCGTTCCCATCCTTTCGAAGCTGCCCTCAGCCTCAGCTGATGAGGCTCTTGTTGATCCCTAGCGGCTCTCTTCTAGCAGTACCTCTCAAGGAAGGAGCCCCTTCCTTACACAGGACCCACTGAGCCTCCTGCACTGGACGTTTCTCCACTTCAGAAGGAATGCTGCTTCCTTCCTTTAGACGATGAGCGATTTTAGCACTGAATGGAAATATATTTCCTATTTTTGGTTTTTTTGAGACATGGTCTCTCTCCACAGCCTCGGCTGTCCTGGAACTCACTATATAGTCCAGGCTGGCCTCAAACTCAGATCCACCGTCTGTGTCTCCCAAGTGCTGGGATTACAGGCATGGGCCATCACACTCGGCCTTACATTTCTGTCTTATTGTTTTTGCCAACCTGGAAGGTCCTGAGGACAGGCATTGCATTTCAACTTTTGTTTATCTTTGTGCCTGACATGAACTCACTTGTCTTTCTCCTCTTGGCTGGCAGGACCAGTTTGACACAGTGAATGATGCTGACCTCCACAGCCTGGATGCCAAAATTGTGGCCCTCACTGCCAAGGTGCAGAGCCTACAGCAGAGCTGCCGCCACATGGAGGCTGGTAAGGCTGGGAACCCCTCCAAGGTGCCATGGTTTGGAGGCCACAAATTGCTAACAGAGTGGTTCCTTGTCTGCAATGTCTTATTGCACCAGGCCTCCTTTGCCAGATGCCTACGCTATCACACTGAAGTGCAGAATTACTCATGGCTTTTGTGTATGAAAGGGCAAGGCAGGGGTTGGGGAGTTAGCTCAGTGGTAGAGCGCTTGCCTAGCAAGCGCAAGGCCCTGGGTTGGGTCCTCAGCGCCCCCGCCCCGGGGGGGGGGGGGGGGGGGGGGGGGGGGAGCAAGGCAGGCAAGCCACTTGCTTTCCCTGCCACAGTATGAGCACATTGCATTTCCACTTCTTTAATTACCTGTACATCAGTCTGCTCAACTTTATACACCATTGTTGCTTTTAGATGGAGCAGGAAAGAACAACAGAAAACAAACTCATGCTGTAAGCTTTTGTCTTGAGCTTCTCCAGAATGTGGGGTCCTGTTCTAGAGAGGTCCCAGAGCACCTGCTGGGCAAGACAGAATCCCTTCCTCACTCAGACTGCTAACTCTGGGGGCATGTGGTTTCAGAGCTGAAGGAATTAACAAGTGCGCTGACCACTCCGGAGATGCAGAAAGAGATCCAGGAGTTAAAGAAGGAATGTGTTCACTATACAGAGAGACTGGGGAACATCAGAGCAGCCACTAACCACGTCACGCCAGAAGAGAAAGAGGAGGTGAGCTGGGGGGCTGGAGGCTGCCTGTGTGGGGCTGGAGCGAACACGGGCGCACAGACAATCATGTTTCTTCCTTGCAGGTGTACAAAGAAAGGCAGAAGTATTGTAAAGAGTGGAGGAAGCGGAAGAGAATGGTGAGAACCCCAGGGTGGCTTGGAAGCGTGGGAAGTGCCCATTACCAGGGAAATTCCTGTGCAAAATGATCCAGCAGGCAGTGCCCTGTACTGCTCCTGCCCATCTGAAAGGGGCTTCGTTTCTTGTCAGACCACCGAGCTGTGTGATGCGATCCTCGAAGGATACCCCAAGAGCAAGAAACAGTTCTTTGTAAGTGACTCTTTCTCTTGCTCCCCTGGGATCTCTGCCCAGAGGACTCCTCCATTTCTTTCCTTGCCCCACAGGAGGAAGTTGGGATAGAGACAGATGAAGATCATAATGTCAGGCTCCCAGACCCCTGAGGGGCCCTTGGGGACTGGGAGCGGATGTCCTGGGCTGGCTGCCTTGTTGAGGAGGCCTTCTAACTGTTCTCGCTGCTCTCCACCGTGAGTGGTAGGGAGGGAAGTACAGAGCTGGTGATCAGAAAGAGATGGTCATGTCCCTTTTGTTGTCCATGTCACAAAGGCCTCCACAAGGACTTCACAACCTTCAAGGAAAGTATCTGGAATATTTATTGTAATATAATTTGATATAAAAATACTTAATTTCCTCTGGATTATCAAACCTCCCAGATATCAAACCTGGGGGAGGCAACAGGGAACACGGGCGAGAAAAGTACAGAAAGGTGGTCACACACTAACATCTGAGAATCCCAAGGTATCACCCAGGCCTACCCCAGACGACCTGAGCGTCTTCTGTATCTATCTCCCAAGTCCTAGGAGAAATGTGGGAGGTACACAGATACATTACACAGGAAGAGCTGGGGTGCTTTGCTGGTCCAGTTAGAACTTTGGGAAACTAACAAACTACATATAACAAAAACACACTGTTGACATTTAGAGAGCAAATTCAAATATGTAACTCTGTGCGGCACCTGCCTTAGGGAAGAGACAGGGCAGGGGCTGACAGGACATTGCTTCCTCTACCCACACAGTATGGTTGACTATGGGGGACAGCAGGAACCTGGCAGCCTTACCCTGAGCTGGCTAGAAAGCCCTGGCCTTACTTAGTACTCACCACACAGCCCTAGCATAGGAACAAGGTGGCCTTTTACCCTTCCTGGCCATGGGACTATTTCTTTTCCTTTTTTTCCAAGTCAAAAACTGCCAAAATACCCAAACTTGAGCCAAGTGTTGCCCAAGAGACCAAGCAGAGGCAAACAATTTCCAAATTATATATGTAGATTGTGAGCATAAACCCGATGGTCAGAGAAAGGGCTGAGGGGCCAGGGGTTCTGTGAGGTTCCCTGAACAGACTCTTGTCCTAAAGACTTTTCCTAGGAAGGGGAAGGTGGGGTGGGTCAACATTGTGGGCAATATAATAAATTAATGAGAAGCTTCCACAGAACTCAGCCTCACTGAAGCTGAAGTGGGGCCGGGCAAACCAAACACCAAGTAGAAACCAGCTGACCGGTGTGAGGTGTTGCAGTCCAGTCTCATAGGCCCAGCAGCTCCAAACAGACCGAAGGCCTCTGCCCTGCAGGTTTCCGGGAGCCGTCAGTAGAGTTGGGTTTTCAGCTGATGTAGGACACCAATCACAATTTCTCGTAGAGTCTAGGGAAGAATGGTCGGGTGATAGCACGGGCCTTTAAGATGCCTGCCTAGCCCAAGCACGCTCTTGAAGAGAGCATCTGAAACAGTCACCTAAGGGCTAGACATGCAGCTTGGTGGGTACTTCCTAGCACTCAGAGAAGAGGGGCTGGTGAGATGACTCCGCCAGTGAAACCTTGTGCCATGCAAGCCTCGTGACCTAAGGTTCCATCTCCCTGGAACTCACAAAGAAGTGGAAGCAAAGAGCTGACTAAAAAGCTGTCCTCTGACCTCTCCGTGTGTGCTATTGCACACTAAACAAGGTGTGTGTGTGGGGGGGGGGGGGGGGTGCTAGAGAGATAGCTCTTGGTTAAGAGTGCTTGCTCTTGCAGAGGACCCAGGCCTTGTTCCCAGCACCCACATGGTAGCTCCCAGCCACCTGAACTCCAGTTGCAGGAGATCCAGTGCCCTCTTCTGGCCTCTGGCATCAGGCACACACATGAGATGCATAGATGTATGCAAGCAAAACACCCATGTACATAAAATGTGTTTTTTTTTTTTTTTTTTTTTTTTTTTGGTTTTTCGAGACAGGGTTTCTCTGTGTAGCTTTGCGCCTTTCCTGGAACTCGCTTTGGAGACCAGGCTGGCCTCGAACTCACAGAGATCCGCCTGGCTCTGCCTCCCGAGTGCTGGGATTAAAGGCGTGCGCCACCACCGCCCGGCGTGTTTTGTTTTTTAAGGGGGAAGGGGAACCCAAGATGGAATGTTGCCTCCTTTTAATTTTCAGATATTCCTGAAATAAGATAGGGACACAGGTGACTATGTCATTGGTGTAACTGATGTGGTGGATGTGGGTGTTCACTCTTACAGTGTTCCAAGTATTTCACAATGAAAGTATTGGTTAACATGAAAGGAGAAATCTGAGAAAAACCAGCCAGGCCTCAAGTGCAGAAGACAGCGCAATGAAAAGCCCTGGGTCTACAATGGGGTGGGGGTGTCCTGTAATCTGCACGTTTCTAGAAACTTTCAGTAACTGCTGCTGGCTTCCATACAGGACAGCCACGAAGTGGAGTGGCTGATGAGTCACCAGTGACGTGGGCCAAAGCTAGACCTGGTACTGAGGGCTCGCATCATGGTTGCCAGATGAGATCTTGACAGGGCTAGGCAGCAAAGAGAAACAGAATACTAAACTTTGTAGACACCCTGTAGAATCCCAAAGGCAACTCCACTGCTTTTCTGAATGGCTTGGACCACTTTGCTTGGCGGTAGTAAGAGAGCCTCAGACCCCATGACCCCTGCTGCCACATACCTGTGGCTCACAGTGTTCCTCAATCCAGCTGAAGACACAAGCTGACAGCTCCTGGAAGCTGGCCACAGAGATAGAGGCATTGAAAGACTGGAATAGGGAGTCCATGATGCCTTGAAACACGTTGAACTTGACCTGGTCAGAGACCTGGTCTTCTCCCTCATGAGGGTTGTCCTGATGTGCCTTCACAATTTGCTCATAGTTCCTGAAAGCATACAAGCATGCAGAGCTGAGGTGCAACAGCAGCCCCACCAACCTGAGACACATGGCGGGATAACCCAGTGGCCACCCCGGAAGAGTATTCCTAGAGACCTTTGGGGATGCAATCAACAGCTGAACACTAAGTCAGAACTGTGACTCCCTGCACCCTACTCCTTGTTAACCTGACAGGTGTTCACTTCCTGTATGTCTGCTGTATGTAAAAGGCTAATGGGGACACAGTCCTGCCTTACAGCAACTACCTCGGAGTCAGTATTGCCTACATGCATTCCCTGATACGGGCTCTGAACAAGATAGAAGAGGACTGGAGTTGACTTCAGCACCCCCTCAGCTCAGCGGCCCCCTTACACTTTCATTATCTTCAGGGCTGTGACGTCCTTGCGCAGTGTGGATACCTCCTCCTCCTGCTTTTTCTTCTCCTTGTGTAAAAACTGGATGTAGTCGATGGCTGGAATAAGACCAAGAGAGGGGTTGGGAACAGGAAGTCTGAAGCAGGAGGCTGGCTCATTTTGTTTCCCCTTCCCCTATAACCCAATTTTCCCATTACAGCCACCCCACCTGGGTCAGACCAGGTACCAGCCACTCCTGGTCACTACTACTACCCCTGCCCTGTGGCCCTGGCCATACTCTTCTGTAGAACGATGGCTTTGCTGAGTTTTTGGGAGCCAATGGAGAAGTCCTGCTGCTGGCAAGTAGGGACGATGGTCTGAAGATCATCATAGCCTCTCTGTGGAAACAGCAAGGAAACAGGTTTCTGAACTCAGGAAGAAGCCAGGCCAGCACAAACTTGATACCAATTCCATGCTCAGAAACTCAAAGCACAGAGGGCTGGAGGAAGGCCCTACAGGCACGGGACTAGCCCAGCTCCCTCTTCCTGCAGACTCCTGGGGCTAAAAGGGACAGGGCAGGGTGAATAAGAACCACGCAGAGTTCTCCCTTGCTGCCTGGGGTACAGACCCCCCCCCCCAGTCACCTTGATAGCATCCCTCCTCTTCTGTTCAGCTTGAGTGTGTGCACGCCGCCTCCGGTCTTTGTAGGATTCCTTGTAGGACTCTTGCTGATAATCACTGTCCTCATCATCTAGACTCAGAGATGGAGGCAGGGACAGGTCACTTCAGGGTCCACTGAGTCCAGCAAGCCCACTTTTCCCTAGTTGAAACCTTGGTGCCCAGAGATGGTAAATGCAAAGAACCTAGTATCTTGGATGAGGTGAAAGATACTCAGGCTTGGCACTGCTCCAGCCTCCCCATGCGAACAGTGGAGCTCCCTATTTAGGAAAGACTAAGGTGATGGCATAGCTACGTCTCCCCAGGTCTGTGGGGAGTGTGTTGCTGCCTACCTGTGTTGGGGACGGAGGAGGCACTGGTGGAGCCGATGCTATTAGCTCTGGACACTACACTCCCCTTGTGGGTGCTTTCTACAAAAAGCCCTGGAAGAAAGAGGCCTCAGTCACCTATGGACACAATGGCTTCAAAAGCTGACCTCTCCCCAACTCCAAAGCTGGCCACCACGGGCCACCCACTTCATGCTGCAATGCTCCTGTTTCTAGTGTCTACACTGCCCACAGGACTAATTTCTGACTCATAAGGGGGCATCTGGATGCAATGAATATGACCAGCTGTCACTATTTCCATCATTTCCCGTTCTAAGGCAAAAAAACCAGGTGTGACCCATGGTTGCTTCCTGCCTATCCTTCAGCTCCTCCCTCACTTCTCAAGCCAGGACCTTGGCACAGTGACAGTGGACTGTGCTCAGGTGTGGCTGGCAAGACCACAAAGATCTACAGAGCTGAAATGGGTCATTCCTGACGCGAAGACGGTGGAAAAGGCACTCACCAGGGTCCAGGCTGTTGTCACTGTAGGCATACTCGACCTGCAGCATCAAGCAAGGGAGAAGCCCGTCAGACCTTTGCCTCTAGGAAAAGGCACATGCAACCCGCAGATGCACGTACCACGGGTGCGGGGACCGCTGAATGGCTCTCCCAAAGCCAAGCCTGGCTAGGCCGCAGGGGCGCCGCCCCCTCTGTATGATCCCTGCAGCCCCCGCCCCACCTCCCAGGCACGTCCCCTTTGTCCCCCCCACACATGCCTCACTTGTCTCCCCACCTTGGCACACGCCGGGTGAGAGCTGTCTTCTCTGCAGCCCCGGGGCCCGGACAGCAGGGGAGACTCTGGGGATAGTTGGGGAGCCCCGCGTCTTCCGGAACCCCTACGTGCACGAGCCCGACCCGCCCTCCCCTCGCCGGCGTGCGCGTCCGCGGAGCTTGCCTTGACCCAAGGGTCCTCGGGAGAGGCGCCCGGCTCCGTCATCGTGGACCTACCGAACCGGAAACAAGCCTGCGGACTGTCCCCCAGCCTCCGGGAAGAGGCGAGGCTCGATCACATGATCCAGCCCACCAATCCGCGATTGCGGTCATGGGTGGGGCGAAAGGGCTGCGCTTGCGCGGCTCCAGTTATTAAATGCCTGCTGGCGGTGGCTAAACCTGACCAATTCGCGTTAATATAGGCAATGTAAACAGCCGTGGGCCCTGCTCGCCTCCAAATGAGAATCTAGAATGGCAGCAATTTTCTGTTCAATGAATCCCTCTCAAAAGGATTGTCAAAAGGGATAGAGGTGTATTAGTTCGGTGGTAGAACCCCTGAGAGTCCCAGCACCACTCTCAAAAAAGCATCTGAACAGTGTGACATTGTGTACGCACGCGCACGGCTGATCGGGCTGGCAACCACAGCAGGGTCAAGAACTTCCCGTGTCACATGATCTGATTCAATGAGGGAACAACGCCACCCAACACCCAGCTGGTGTCTGACATGGCGCTTGTTTAATTAAACCTTGTAAAGAGGCTTTGAAGTTAGGCTTATAGGCAGAACAATAGTAAAGTCTAACACACTAAGCACATCGCTAGTCACTGATAGGCTAACTTCAGTCTGGCTAGCCTCAAAGGCCACACTTAACCACAGCATTCCCTGGCTTCCAACTCGGGCCTTGTCCCTGACTGTGGAGCCTGAGAATCCAAAGATACCCAGAGGCACTGGAGCAGGAAGGAGAAACCACACAGGCAGCCTTGGAAACATCTTTAATTCGGTTACTGGGTCCAGTGTTTCCCACAACCCATCAACGGTAGACAGACGCCACACATCCACCACTAAAGGGGACAAAACCCTAGAGGGGACTGCTCCCCCACTGGCTACAGCCTCACTGCCGGCCAATTCCAGCATGCTAGGCAGACTTCCGGGCTTCTGTCTGTGTCCTGCACAGCTTAGCTTGAAGCCCTTAGGCCTGCCACAGGGTGAACATCGAGGCCCCCATTCCTCCTCACCACCAGATTTGTTAGTTCCAGGGGCCACTTTGGTGCCACAGAAAATCCATTGTCAGTTCTTGGTCTGGTGGGTCTTAGAGAGGCGCTTCTGTAGAAGAGTCCAGGCCTTTTCCACCTTTGGCCAGTCCAGAATGGTAGAAGAGGACAGGGTCAGGGAGACAAGCATTGGAACCTTCCCCCACACACACAACTTTACCTCTGCACCAACCTGTCGCTGTGTGACATGTGGTTCCCACAAGGTACTCAGGACCACATGGCTCTGCTCTACCAGCTGCTGCCCGCTCATCTGGCTCTGCAGCCGGCTCTGAGCGGCTGCCTCACTCAGTCCATCCCTCTCAACAATACGTCGTACTGCCTGGGCACGGATGACACAATGATCAGGAAGGATCCCAGCCCAGTCTACTGGATCAGAGCAGGAAACTGTCTGCAGTGGGCTCAGACGGGGTAGAGTAGGGTCCAGATACCTCAGTCTCAGGGATGACAATGGTCCACACCTCGTGCACCATATTCTGCCAGCCAGCTTCCAGCAGCATAGCAGCATCTATCACACACACAGACTTTCCTGTGGGGAAAGCCTAGTCATTGCCAGCAGCACTTGACACTTGCTGCCTGTCAGCACACCAAATGTAGTGAATGGTCCCCCTGGGGCCAAGGAAGGTCCCAAAGGGAGTTGCTGCTTAACTTTCCCACTCTGGCTGCTCCCATCATCCCTCCCACTCACCCTTAGCCACAGCCAAATCCATCTCCTCTCGGGCCAGCTTTGCGATAACTGGCCACACAATGTCTGTGAGGATCTTCAGCTGCTTCTGGGGAGGGGGACAGAGAGAGGGGGGCAGAGGTTAGTGTCCCTGAGAAATACATCAGCCTGGGAGGTGGAGGCTGGGAGAAGATGAGCAGAAATGGACTTCCTGTGCCAGACCAGGGAGTCCACTGAATCTGCTCATGGATTTGGCAGCAGCTACAGAACTCTTGAAGAGGTGTGTGTGTGTGTGTGTGTGTGTGTGTGTGTGTGTGTGTTTACCTTGTTGCCAAACACCCGGCTGCCCAGGACCTTCCTATTGATGGTGCCATCTTTATGAAGAATATCTGGGTGACAGAGAAAGAAGGCTCAGCAAAGGGGCCAGGCCATCTTCTCACCTCAGTCTACCTCCACAGTCAGTACCTGCTCCAAAGGCCTCCACCACAGGCTGGTAGGCAGGGCCCCCGGGAGCATAGGCCCGATGGCCCAGAAGGTCACTGTCAATGATATATGCTCCCAGGTTCTTCAACCGCTGAGCTACTGAGCTTTTCCCAGAGCCACTGATGCCTGTCAGCCCGAGCACATAGAGCCCAGACGGGAGCTCTGGCCTCTGCTGGAGATAGGGAAGTGAGACCTGCGTCACCAGGGAGTTCAAGCTCACACTTCCAGGCGAGCCTGTTTCTATCCTCCAGCATTTCCAACCCGCGCATTCAGTGAAGAGGAAGGAAGGCAGGCAGGCAGGCAGGCGGACTTACATCTGGAGGCTGAAGCAGGTTTCCCAGAATCCGCTGGCGGAAGCTGGAGGAGCTGACCTTGTCCTCTTCATTTTCACCGTGACTTTGGTCCTTCAGCAGCTGTATCTGGTATAAGGCAAGTTCCTCCTTGCCCTGAGGTAAAGGGAGTAAGAGAAGGGGGATGAGGGGCTGGGGGCTCAGAGGTTAAGAGCACTGGCTGCTCTTCCGGAGGTCCTGAGTTCAATTCCCAGCAACCATGTGGTGGCTCACAACCACCTATAATGAGATCTGGTGTGCTCTTCTGGCATGCAGGCATACATGGAGGCAGAATGTTGTATACATAATAAATAAATCTTAAAAAAAACAGGGGGGGATGAATCTGGAGCCCCAATCTGCCCTCTATTTACCTACCCCTCTCCTCCTCCAACGCTTCCCCTGAACCCTCCCTTCCCTGCCCTGGGGCCACAGTACTTCCAACAGGCCTCCCCCTCCCATTCCCTCTGGCGGTCTCCTTCAGGGGTTACATTCTCAAGGCGGAAGCGGTTGACGGCCATCCCCCCACGATAGGTCTCCTCGCTGACCACCAGGAACTCCAAGGTAGGGTCAGACCCAGCAGGCCCATAGGGGTCCAGCAGGGGGACGATATCAAAAGTCAGGGAGGGCTTGATGTCCACCAGGAACTCACTCAGATGGTCCACACGCTCTGCATAAGGCTGGAGCAGCTCAGGGAGCAGCTTGCCTGGAGAAGGAGCCAAGAACACCAGTGAGATCTTTCCACCAGAGTAGACACGCAGGCCCATTTGGGGAAGAAAGTCCCTAGGTACAGAAATCCCCCCAAGCAGTGGCAGCAAGAAAGGGTGAAACTGGAACAGTTTGGGGGGGCGAGGGAGACAAAGGGGAAGAAATAAACAAGCAGCAGACACTGCAAGGGCTGCCAGGTACCCAGAAAACAAGCCACCAAAAAATGACTACAGAGAAGCAGTACCAGTAGGTATCAGCTAGGTGGAGAACTACCCCATCCTTAGAGTTGATCACTTGGAGAACCATAAAGTGCAAATTCATTGGTTCCCATCTGGGGAGTTCGGACTTCAGCAAAGGTGACTGACCCACGCACGAAGAATACCACATGTATTCATCTAACATAAGTCCCATAGCAAGAACATGTCGGGCATTGTGGCATTTTGTAACGGTAAGAAGTGGCCCTAACCTTCCTTGATCTTGGCATTGGGGGAGCCAAGAAAACTGAATGGGTGTCCTCCATTGCCCTAATCCAGGTTCCCTCTCACTCACTCTTCAACAGATCTTTGTCTGCTACTCCCACCACAAGCTGCTCCTGGGCCAGCACACATGCAATACTGAGCAACACTTTGTGGGCATTGTGCAAGCGGTCAAAAGTGCCACCCACGGCCCCACGGTGGTAGCCACGCACAGGTTGCTTTGGAGATCTGGCAACTGGGGAAGCTGGCCTTATGGTGGAGGGTAAGGAAGCATTCAGGGTCTCCACAGGCAGCTCTCCAGTTCCATAATCCGGATACAGCAAGATGGAAGACAACTGCGAACAACAGCTGTAACAACTGGTGGCATAACGCTCTAGATGTTGTTTCACCGGGTTGTACTGGCTCCCATCCAGGGTCTGGAAGTCCGTCAGTACTACTTCTGGAGGTTGGGCCAGATTCTGGACGGAGGGCAGAACGGGGAGAAAAGTGCTCTTGGTTTGGATATTGGTCAGTAGAATTCTGACGTCCAGGTGCCTGAGCAGGTCGGCGCCGGTGTAGAGGTGTGTGATGAAATCCAGAACTTCAAAGGTGGCCTGCACCGGGCTGGCCTGGGGCTGAGCGGGACCCCCCAGGTCCATGCCCGGTTGCAGGTGCACATAGAGGGTGTGGCTGACCAGGCCAGCCGCCGAGGTCAGGATGGGAGACAGACGTGGGGCCAAGGTGGCCAGCGGCGTTGTCAGCACCAGGAGGCCAGAGCGGAATACGGCCATGCTGCCCAGGCCTGCAGACAGTCAGGGAGACGAACCGAGAGTGACTAGGCGGGCAGCGGCCGAGGCCTGCAGGGGAACTCGGACGCAGGAGGAGGGACCTGGAGCAGGGCAGGGGGGCGTTCGCGCATAGAAACCGGAATCGAGGCAGGGGGAACCTGCCGGGAACCCCTGAGTCATGGGGGCTGGGGCTTTAGGAATCCTAGCCCCTCTGGTTAAACTGAACCGGCATCTGCGAAGACTGAAAGGCGGGGAGTAGAGGGGACGCCGTGGCTCGGGCCGCTTCCCTACTCACTGAGCTCTTGGGATTCTGCTTCTACTTACACCGCCGCGGAGGCGTCCTAGGCTGCGGCCCGGAAGCACTACCCTCAGACTTCACAGCACGGAGCTACGGGACCTCAGAGCAGTCAGACCGTGCAACTCCGAGACACGGAAGGATTCTCGAGAGGCTTCTGGGGCGGGGCGGGGCGGGGCGGGGCGGGGCGGGGCGGGGCGGGGCTAAGCGCAGGGGCTTCGGGGTTGCGCGAAACCCTGGCACCGGATTCACTTAGGCTGGCAGGAAGAGGGCGGGGCCCATTTCGCGGATTCCTATTGGTCTTTGCTTGCCCTGGCTTGCTAGGAGACTGTGACAAAGCCAGGACCCCTCCCGGCGTCCCTTCTCAATGCCAGTGACGGGGACGGTGGGGTCACATTGTTCTGCTTGCTCCGGAGTTCCCAGCGAAGCTACTAGACAGCTCTACCACATCTCCATTTCCACACAAGGGAAATTGGGCTTCTGAGTGTTTTGGCAGACCTAGGGGCGGGTCTCGTGGTTTCCGTAGGACTCTGAGGTTTGTAAGGACAGGCAAGAGGGCGGTCTCAGCGTGTTAGGTCTGCAAGGCTGCCGGGGGCAAAGGGAGACCTAGGGTGAGGATTCCCGGCGAAGTTAATGAGGGCTGGAAAGTCTAGTGGAGGGGTAGCCAGAGAGTTATCAGAAAACTTCTCAGGTAAATCATCCATGGAGATAGCAAAAAGGAGAGCAACCCGGCCTCGAGATTCGTGAAAAGATCGGAGCTTTGATCTGCGATCCCAGCTTTGATCCCAGAAGGATCCGCTGCAAGTTTGAGATTAGCCCCAAAGCCCTGGACGGGGCAGGTGCTGACAGGCGGAAAGGAGACGGAAAGACCTGTAATGTGCTGTGGTCCGGAAATCTGGCCTTGTAAAGTAACTAATCTGTTAAGGAGTCAAGCTTCTTGCAGAAGACAGTTCAAATTGGATTTTAGAGAGTTTAAAGGAGTCAGGGCAAAGGTTGGGGAAGTGTTAGTCTTACATCTGGCACTGGTAGTTTGTTTTGAGACAGAATCTCACTGTGTAATCACACAGCGTTGCTTTTCTTAGGTAAGTGTCTATTTAGTGCACTGTCCTGAGCATAAAGGATAGAACAGAGAACAAAGTTCACTGAGGTGGATTTGTGGATGTCTTGGGATGGGATGAATAAACAATAAATCCAGAATACATGTGGTGGTGATCACACAATAAAGAAGACTAAAACAAGGGGACGGAACTATACTGGAGGGGAAGGAATACTTTTTTAGGTAGGGTGGCTCAGGGAAATAGCAAAGACCTGACAAAGAAAATAGAATCGGAAAGCCGGGTGGTGGTGGTGCACACCTTTGATCCCAGCACTCTGGAGGCAGAGTCAGAAGCATCTCTGTGAGTTCTAGGACAGCCAGGGCTACACAGAGAAACCCTGTCTGGGGGCGGGTGTGTGTGTGGGGGAGGAGGCAATGATGGTATTAACAGGCCAGGAGAACAGGAGTGTGCACAGATATAGAAGGTGACATAAGGGTCACAAAGGTTGCAGGGGCTGGGGAGATGGTTCATGGATAAAGCCCAGAGGACCCGAGTTCAGATCTCTAGATGCACATAAAAGTATTGCCTTGATGTCCTCCTGTAATGCCAGCACCAGGGAGTCAGAGTCCTAGGATCCTTGGGAGCAAGCTGCTAGTCCAGACAAGCTGGAGTCATGAGCTCCGGGTCCAATGAGTCCTTGCACCAAGAAATAAAGACTCCTGACTTCAACTGTGGACCTACACACACACACACACACACACACACACACACACACACACACATACACGCCCACGCCCACATACATGGGAACACACAGACACATGTACAAGCAAAAAGTGAAAAAGAAAAAAGACGCAGGAACACCACAGAAAGTCTTGAGAGCTTAGGGTCAAACATTAGATTTTACTCAGATGGAGGCAGCAGAAAGTATCTTCCACCCTCAAACTTTGAGGGGGTCAAACTCTGCCTTATGAAGCAAGCTCTGTCCCCTGAGCTAGACTCCCAGCCCAGGCAAGGGTGTTTTAAGCAGATAAAATTAGCCTCCCCTCACCCCATTTTTTTTTTTTTTTTTTTGAGACAGGGTTTTACTATGTAGCACTGGCTGGTCTGGAACTTACTATGTGGACCAGGTTGGCCTTGAACTCACAGAGATTGGTCAGCCTCTGCCTCCCACCAGTGTGTCTGGTGTGTGTTTTTGTTTGCTCTTTTTGAGACAGGGTCCCTTGTATCCCAGGTTGGCCTTCAACTTACTATGTAGTGGAGGGATGATCTTGAATTTCTGACCCTCTTGCCTTTACCTTTCAGATTCTGAAACTACAGGAGTGCTACTTACTAGGTTTGTTATTATTATTACTTTATGTGTATAGGTGTTTTGTCTGTCTGTATGTCTGTGTACCACATGCATGGCTGGTGCCTATTGGAGCCAGAAGAGAGCATCGGATCCCCTGGAATTGGAATTACAGACAGTTGTGAGCCACCATATGGGTTCCAAGAACTGAACCAGGCTATTCCCTCTTGAACAGCAGCCAGTGCTCCTAACCACCAAGCTCTCTCCCCACCTCCCTCTCCTCACTGCTCTCTAGCAGCCCAGACTGGCCAGATCCTCTCAACTCCACTTGTGGAGTGCTGGTATTAGAGCTGGTTCCGTCTGTATACATGTGGCTCTGCAGGATGCATTGAAAGAAGTCACACTAGGGCTGGAGAGATGGCTCAGAGGTTAAGAACACTGACTGCTCTTCCAGAGTTCCTGAGTTCAATTCCCAGCGCCCACATAGTGGCTCACAACCATCTGTAATGAGATCTGGCGCCCTCTTCTGTGTACATAATAAATAAATAAATCTTTAAAAAAAGAAAAAAGTCACACTAGGAAGTCAAGCCTGGACCCCCAGCACTTGGGAGGATCAGAAAGTTCAAAGTCATCCTCAGCCACATAGCAAGTTCAAGGCCAGCCTAGGCTACATATGACACTGATTCAACAACAATTGGGCTGATCCCAATCATTGCTGGCAGTTAAAATCTACCCCGACTTGCTGGCCCATCTGTTGAAAACATTTACAGTTCAAATCTGAAGACCTGTGTTCAATCCCTGAAGTCCATGGTGGCAGAGAGAACAGTGTTACCCCTGACTTCTGCACTCTGTGCCACGGTGGAATGTGTCCCCCTCCAAATCATGCTCAATAAATGTTTCCAAAAAACATTTATTGGAAGAAAAAAAACCTTAACCTACACCCCGGTCTATCTATATTAGCTCAATCTTGACCCATGAGGAAGTTTGCACTATTTAAAAATGGTTCTGAGAAGGGCACAGACCTTTGGTTCCAACACTCAGGAGGCAAAGGCAGGCGGATCTCTATGAGTTAGAGGCCAACCAGGGCTACATAGTGAGCCCCTGCCAAAAACAAAACAAAACAAATTCTAAAATAAGAAAAAGGAGACTTTGTTTCTTAGCTCTTTTGCTGGTAACATTGTTAGTCCTGACCCAGTTTATCGGATGCAGGCCTGCACAATTCAGCTGCCACCCTAGGGGACGCACACCCTGGGACGCACACACCGGAGGTCGCATCCCGGTCCCCAGGGGTTCTGGCCCCAGCTTCAGGGCCCTCCTGCGCCTGCAGATCAGCGAAGGCCTGGCAGTGCATGGCGGTGACGTAGCTGCTGCCGCTGGGATCCTCTGTGCGCATTCGGGTCAGTGGCAGGAAGCGGTCGGTGGAGAAGTAGCGCAGCGCGGGCCGCGGGGCTCGCAGAGCGGTCAGAAAGAGCTGCGGAGGGAAGAGCAGCGCGGGTCTGTGGGGGAACTACTGGGGGTGCGCCACCGTGCCCCACCCAGAGACTGAGCTCGGAGGCCCCGTTTGCACCCACCTCTGTCACCTCCTCTGGGTCCTGGGCCTCGCTCAGAACTTGCTCATAGCCACGCTGGTAGTGCGTGAAGAGGCGGCGAGTCTCGGCATCTGCACGCTCCAGAGCCCCGCCTGGGCCACCCTCTAGCTTCTCATAAAAGGCCGTGTGCACCGGCCCGCACTCGATGAGACTCACGCTGTGGGAGCAACAGCAGTGACTGGTTGATGGCGGTGACCACAAGCCTGGCCCTAGCTCCTCCACAAAGGGAGGACACCGAGAGGGGCTGTGCCCAGGTGGCAGGTGCTGGCATTACCAGCGCGCTTGCCAAGCCGGATGCTGCTAGAGAAGGGCTCCCATGGCCATCTGGGGTCTAGTCACCTACTCGCTCTGTTTACCCATCCCAATATGCCTTAAGAGCTGGAGTGGCTCGTGAAGTGAGATTGCCTGTGCCAAGCTCCCCGTATAGAGTCTGGCACACAATGTGAGCTGGAAAAGGAGAACCAGAGGCATTGCTCAAGAGTGTCTCCAAGATCTGGGACTGGGGTTCCCAAGCTTTACAGGGTTCTGGAGGGCTGGTGACTCACTGGACTCCAAAGAGCGGCAGCAGGATCGCCAGACTCTCGCACAAACCTTCGAGCGCGAACTTGCTGGCACAGTAAACTTCGTGGAATGGCAGCCCTAGGAGGGGAGACAAGGTTGCAGAGACCCTGGCGCTCCTCGCCCTGCTCTGCACCCCTTACTTACTTACTCGGTCCCTTTTGCTCACCCATCAAGCCTCCTACACTCGCAGTCACTAGCACACGCCCAGAGTGGCGCCTCTTCATGTCCGGCAGAAAGGCTTGCAGCATCCGAACTGTCCCGACCACATTCACGTCCAGCACAGCACCCACTGCGTCCAGCTCATGCGCCTCCAGCGGACCGAAGAGGCCCCGGCCGGCATTACACACTGCAGGGAGAGAGAACAGATATCACTCATAACACTGATCTCTCCCCTCCTCTTGTGGTTCCCTGAACTCGGGACTTCCCGGTTTGGTTGGGCACTGGGTAGTAAAGACTCCTATTACATGTGTTTCAGGTAGGCTTACCCAGCACATCCACACGACCCTCGGACACACATGCCTGGGCAGCGGCCACAGAATGTGAATCCCTGACGTCCAATTCCAGTGTCTCCAGGGAGCCAGGAGGGCATCCTCGAGCCCGGGCTGCCTCCAACAGTGGTCCCTGTGCCTTCAGGTCCCTCATTGTGGCATACACTAAAATTTGGGAGGGGATAAATGACTCATCACCCTGCTTACCTGTGGGGGCTCCTCCCTGGCCTCCATGCTGGTCCCCTCCTATACCTTTAAAGCTCTGGGACCGGTCAGAAGCCAGACGAACAGCTAAGTGCAAGCCGATACCGGAGGAGCAGCCGGTAATGAGCACTACGGTGCGGTCCATGAGGAAGAGTACTGAAGCTCAGAGCACGAAGGGTCCTAGTGGCAGGTTGGGGCTGGGTATCTGCTTGGCTAGGTTCCTGCCCCCAGGGCCCCCACCCCTTGTTGTGTCTGCAGGCAATCTCAAGGCTGAGTCAGGTCCCTGGCAGGCTCTCCCCACCCTGCTGGGGGTCAAAGCAGAGAAAAGGACACCAAACTGCCGTAGCTGGTCAGGGCAAGGGGGAGGGGCTCTCTAAGTAGCAGCTGGGTTCTCCAGTGCTCCAAACTGAGCAGCGCTAGGCAGGCCTGGCCACAGGGACAATACTTCTGCCCAAGGAACGTCTTGTTTTTAGACAAGGGTCTCACCAAGTGGACCAGGCTGGCCTCAAACTCAGAGGGATCCACCTGCCTCTTGCCTCATGAGTGGCAGGATTAAAGGTGTGCACCACACTGCTCAGCCTCATTTTTGTTTTTTTGAGACAGGCTATCTAGTACCCCGGGTTGCCTTCAAGCTCATAATACAGCTGAGGTTGGCTTTGAACTTCTGGTTTTCCTGCCTCTTGCTCTTCAGGGTTGTTATTCCAGGTGTGTACCACCACGCTCTCAAAGGACCATTATAATTACCAGCTTGCTGCTGTACACCTTCTAAGGTTAGGGACCAGTGTTAAAATTTGGGGAATCAGAAGTGAGGGCCAGAAAGAAATGCCTCCACACCAGGGTCCACACGTGCACCCAAACCCTTCTAGACATACCCGCCGTACATGGTACTTGAGTTGAATAGTGCCAAGCTGATTCAGCAGTTTATTGTTAACCGAAAACAGTACTTTAACCCCCAGATCTGGGGTGGAGGAGTAGAGCAGCTTGCTGCGGGCCCCAGGAATATATCATAAGAACTCAGCTGGTTATGGCAAAGTCACTACCTGGAGGAATCAGGGAATTCCTCCAGAGGAAGCCAAATCCCAAGGAGTTTTTGGTGTTACTTGGCTTGTTATATATCAGCTGTCTTCTGTTATGAAAATCATGTGTGCCTTCATAGTTTTCCCAATTGATTTTTCCCTAAGAAGGACTAACAGTGTGGACTGATCACTCTCTAGACATACACATTCCAGGCATTTGGAGAACAGCCTCAGGAAAGGCTTTCCCTGGAATCAGATATCTCCCCTAGCCACTTTCAAGGACTAAAGGAGACACCACCCAGGTGGTCGCCCAATTTCCGAGGACTAACAGTGATAACCACCCACAGGCGAGTCTCCTGACTTAAGGTAAATTCCACAAGGAGACACCACCCGGGGGGGGGGGGGGGGCGCCCAACTTCCTAGGACTAACAATGATAGCAGCCCACAGGCAAGTCTCCTGATTTAAGGTAAATTCCACAAAGAGACACCGCCTAGGTGAGGTGGACATTAAGTAAATAGCTTCACACAATTTAGCTCGGACCCGGGACTTCCAGGGCACAGGGGAGAAGAGAAAAGAGAATGGAAGAACTAGATGGGTAAGAACTTGAGAGGAACAAGCTGAGATGGGGAAGAACTAGATTGAAGGGCTAGAAGAGAGGACTAGAGGAACGAGATGGAAGATGAGAAAGAGCCGGATGGGGAAGAACAAGATGAGGAAGAGCCAGATGAGAGAGAAGGAGATGGGAGAGGAGCTAATAGGGGGAAGAACTAGATAGAGGAGAACCCAGAAGGGACAGAACTAGATGAAGGAATTAACATAGAACCTAGAGGGGGCAGTAGATAAATATAGAGAAATCAGGCAAGAAAGGAGCTAGACATGAGAGCAGAATAGAAGCTGTGCACAGAGAGAGAACTATCACAGAATAATAAAGTGTATGAACTAAGGAGTTTCGTGTACATAGATTCATTTCTTTTTATCAAAGATTAATTCTCAGCTGGTTGTAGATTCTTCCCGGACCCTGGGAGGGGACTATCGAGGGGCTGGACCCCCCAAGTCCCCGATAGCAGCTCATCTTCCTTCAATCGACACTCACTGGCTGACCCTGGTTCCTTCCCCTAGGCATAGGGATCATCCTGTGCTTTTTCCAGGTTTGAAGACCTGTTCCAGCAGGTCCCTGGACCACTGGCCTGTCACAAAGAGCCTGCCTGGGGGTGATATTTGAGGAAGATCTTCTTGGCTAGGTCCACAGTGTCCCCCTGGGGTTGACTGGGATACCTCTTCTTGTTGATAACGAAGGCCTTCTCCAGTGGGAAAACATCCTTCTCAAACTTGCGCTGTTGGAAGGGGACGCCGCTGGCGAGGCTGTGAGCCAGAGTCTCCATGAAGAGACCCCAGCGTGGCTGGTAGTAATCGGCTACCAGTCCTGCCAGCTGCTTATTGGCGTAGTCCAGAATGTTACCCTCAGGCCCCCACAGGGTCAGCTGGTAGCGGCTGTTCTGTTCATAAAACTGGGCCTCAGCTTCACTCACTGCCACAGCCCGGGCCTGATCCAACCAGCTGCCCAGCAAGAAGCGGCTGTCGCTTGCCAGTAGCTCATCTAGGGCAGGTAGGAGCATATAGGCCAGACGGCCTCCTGCCCTGAGCAAGAGATCCAGCTCCTTATTCAGGTAGGCGGTCCTTGCCTCCTCATAGCACAAACTCACCAGCTCCTGCACTGCCTGGCGGGTGACATCCACCAGGTCATAGCGGAAGGCTGGGCTGGCGGTCAGGTTTGGAGCAGCTGTTAACAGCAGTCGCCAGGCCTCAAACACGTCTGATCGGTTGTACCAGACAGTGGTACTCATCTGTAGGGATGGCCGCTTGACCAGCGGGCTCCGATTGTGCCCACTGCAGGTCCCCCCAGAACAGTTGTAGACACTCCTAAGGAGGAGTCTCCAGGCTGCCTCTGCATCGGGCTGGGAGATCCCATATCGGCGGCTGGCAAAGCTGCTCACCCAGGCCACCAAATCCGGCACAGGGTCCTTGCGCCAACCCAGCTCAGCCATGAGAGCATAGACCACTTCATTCTGGCCGATGCCCTCAGGGACTATGCCGGTGCCGACCATGGTGGAGTTGGGGAAGAGGCGAGCTGTCCTGGGGCCTTGGTTCACAGCCTCCAGGGTTCCAAACAGGCCATGGTTACCTCCAAAGTTGTGCAGCATGCACCAGATGAAGGGCTGGCCGTGGAAGGAGGCTGTGTGGACGTAAACAGGCTGGCTCTCGGCAAACAGGTCCAGAACCAAGAGACGACCACGGGGCACAGCCTCCAGCACGGCCTTGATCTGAGCAGGGCCCCAGAATTGAGGCTGGTGCTGGAAAAGCCAGCCTTGGAGCAGCCACATAGCATCAGGGTCCACTGCAGTGGGGGGAGGGGAGGAGACAAAGAGGAGAGATGAGGAGAGGGAGGAGAAGGGGCCGATGCTGACCCTAATCTGCCCGTGAGGAAACAGGCGATTATCACAGGTCCCATCATCCCCCGTGGCTGATCCCCTTGTTACTCTGCCATCTCTGGGACCCTTCTCTCCATCCTGCCTCCTCCAGGACAGTACTTACCTGGCTTCCTGGACATCAGAGCTATTCCGAAAGCTTAAGATATGGATGCCTGGGCCCCGAAATTCTGGACCTGCTCAATCAGGAGACCCAGGGGTTGGGCCTGAGAAGCCTCAAATCTGGCAAGTATTTGGGTTTAGATATAGCATTTGAGTGTGTTTCCCAAGGGTTCATGACTAAAAGATTCAAATTTCATGCCTAATCTCCATTGTGAGATAAAAAGGTGGAGACTCAGGTCTACGAGGTGGCCCTGCCAGGAAAGGGTGTTAGTGCTAAGCCTGACATCCAGCGTTTCCATGCATGAGCCCACATGGCGGAAGGAAAGAACAGACTCCTACAAGCTGTCCTGTGAATTCCACATGTGCGCCTGGGGTGGAGTACATGCACATACATAAATAGATGTAACTTTTTTTTTTTTCTAAGACAGGGTTTCTCTGTGTAACTGCTCTGACTGTCCTGGAACTCACTTTGTAGACCAGGCTGGCCTCGAACTCAGAGAGATCTGCTTGCCTCTGCCTCCTGAGTGCTGTGGTTAAAGGCATGGGCCACCACCGCTGTAACTTTTCAACTAAGAAAAAATAGAAGGGGCTGGGTATGGTGACTCACGCCTTTAGTCCCAGCACTTGGGAGGTAGGGGCAGGTAGATCTCTGAGTTCTAGGCCAGTCTGGTCTACAAAGCAAGTTCCAGGAGAGCCAAGGCTGTTACACAGAGAAACATTGTCTTGAAACTACCCTCCTACCCCCCCCCAAAAAAAAGAAAAAAATAGGGTAGGTTTCAAAGTGAGGGTTGGGCCTCTGGTTCCAGATCATGCTGGGAGAGTACTACTCAAGGAAGCATAAGCCAGTGTGTCGGTTTCAGGACGACGGGGCACCCCTCGGAGGGCTCTCCCTTACTTGGGCCCCCCTCTTCCATAAGTGGTAGAAAAGAGTCTTGGTCTCATGTCTGTGGGACAGGATGGATGTGTAACCTCTGACCTTTATGACCGATTTCAATCATGACGTGGACACCAAATAAATTTTTTGTTGCTGAGGTTTTGTTTTGAGACAGGGTCTTTCTACATCACCCTGGCTGTCCTGGAACTCACTGTGTAGACCTGAACTCACAGAGATCCACCTGCCTTTGCTTCCTGAATACTAAAATTAAAGGCATGTGCCACCATGCCCGGCTCCAAATAAAAACTTTATTATTGTTGTTGTTTGTGTGTATGACGTGTATGTGTGAACACACATGTGGGAATCACAGGACCACTTTGTGGAGTTGGTTCTCTCATCCCATCTTTGTGTGGGCTTCACGGATCAAACTCGGGTCATTAGGTTTGAATGCCTTAACTCACCAAGACATCTCGCTGCTCCTACTACCTACCCCCTACTTGAGAGCTCAGGGTCTCAAGTAGCCCAGGCTGGCCTTGAACTCCTGATCCTTCTGCTTCCACCTCTTAAGCGCTGGGGTTACAGGCATGTGCCATCATGCCTGGCTTAAAATCTTTTTTTTTTAAAATTATGTATACAATTGTTACAGTGTTCTGCCTGCATGTATGCCTGCAGGCCAGAAGAGGGCGCCAGATCTCATTACAGATGGTTGTGAGGCACCATGTGGTGGCTGGGAATTGAACTCAGGACCTCTGGAAGAGCAGTCGGTGCTCTTAACCTCTGAGCCATCTCTCCAGCCCCCTAAAATCTTTTTAATAGGTTGTGCTCCATACTTTTTTACAAGGCTGGGCATCCCGTTCCATGAGCGAGTCCCACCACACAGATGAAGCAACAGACGCTAGATGGGGAGGAAGGAACCCCAGGTCACGTGTCACTCACCACTGTCAGCCAGACCTCAGCACCCGGAGTGGGTAAGTGAGCTGGCATACATGCACAAAGGCCGGTTGAGCTGGAACGTGTGGTGTCACCAGGGCACAGGGCCTCCTCCCACCCATCCCCTCGCCCTGATGCCCCAAGGGGTTTCCTAGCCACCATACCCGCAATCATGGCCTCATAGACAGCCGCAGTGGCTGCGGTGAGGTAGGAGGGCTCCGAGGAGGGAGGCTGCATCTCGTTGAAAGTGTCAGCCCCATAGATATGATCTGTGCCAAACTCTTTGGTCAGCTCCCGTAGGAAGAGGCTCCCGATGAGGGGGAATATGGGGTCTCCTGGAGCCAGAAGGAAGGAGCAGGAGAAGGAGCAGTTGAAATGTCCCCAGCTGCCCAACTGGGTGACATTGACTTGTGGGAACACCCTATGGAGGAAAAAAAGGATCAGGGTTGGTGGAGGCTGACGCAGTGTTTGACTTGGCCTTATACCCCTCATCGGCCTCACATCTGTGGCTTTCCGGACTGTGTCTGGGTTTCTCACACCTCCATGCCTTTACACATGCTGTGTCCCTTGCCTGGTAGCACTTCCTCCACCTCTCAGGCTTACCCACCTGCTTCTTCCTCACTGTCCCTAAGAGTCATCTGTCTCAAAAGCTCTGCTATCTTCCTCTGCCAATTATCTCTCCTTAGGGACAGAGCCATGGGCACCTTGTCACTACTCCCCAGGACCCAGCACAGGATTGGGTCTGACATCTGTAGACGCCTGGGAAAATGTTAACTGAATGAAAAGAATAAGGTTCCCACCACTTGGTGAGCAAGATGGTGGGGGAGCCAGGCAGCCAGGAGTGTCACACTGTGACAGTAGTGCGGGCCAGGTGCTCCCGGGCATGCTGAGGGTCCCTGGAGGTGCTGGCAAGGCTTGACAAGGGAGGCACCTCAGCTGGACCTTGAAGGTTCGTCCAGCCACAGAAGAGAAGACCGAGGACCAACACCCTCCCTAGGCCACTGGAAAGAGCGGCTACTCACTGACATTCTGTGCCTGGCAATATGCATGCACACCCCAGGCTGGCAGGACAGCAGGTGAGGGAATTATTTATTAAATAATAAAACTACACACACACACACACACACACACACACACACACACACACACACACACTAAATTAAAGTTAGCGACTGAAGAGATGGCTCAGCAGTTAGGAGCACTTGCTGCTCTTGCAGAGGACCCAGGTTTGAGTCCCAGCACCCACAGGGTAGTTCCCAGCCATCTGTCACTCCAGCCTCAGGGAACCCGATGTTCTCTTTTCTTCTCCACCAGCACCAGGCACGCATGTGGTACACAGACATCCAGACAGGCAAAACACCCACACACATAAAATAAATGAAACCTTTTTAAATTTGGTGAGTTTTCTAAGTTTGATGCTAACAATTTGGGAATACTTTGAGATTCATTTATTTTTATTTTACGTGTATGAGTGTTTGTCTGCATTTATGTACGCGTACTATGTGCATGCAGCTCCTGAAAGGTCATCAGCTCCCCTGGAACAGGAGTTACAGATGGCTGTGAACTACTCTGTGGGTGCTGAGAACCAAACCATGGTCCTCTGCAAGGGCAGCAATCTTAACTGAGCCACCTCTCCAGCGGTGCCCGACCCCGTGTGTATAAATTTACACATATAAAAACTGGGTCCGACCCCATGTGTATAAATTTACACATATAAAAACTGGGTTTCTCTACGTAGTTCAGGCGGGCCTGGAACTGGTGGTGTCCCAGTCTCGATCTCCTGAATACAGAGATTGGGAGAGTGTCCCCACCCAGGAATGATTCCATTTCACAAGCAAGGTAACTGATTCACAGAGACGTCAATCTCTGTCCAGGCAGTGGCTGACCACAGAACCAGGAGTCAAGTGACACCAACCTCCCAAGCTTCAGTGTTGACATCATGCTTTTCAGGGCAAACCTCTTCCCTTTGAGATGAGCAGGGAGGGCCTCACCTGGTGATGGCCTTGGGGACATGTCCTGCGAAGGCAGGAAGCACTGGGATCATGCCGAAGGAGCGCATCCGGTGCAGGATCCGATGCTGGGAGGGACGGAGGTCAATGTGACAGGTCCTCTTGGGGGGGGGCTTGCTTACTCAGGGAGGGAGGGAGGTTTCCTACGGGCCAGTTAAGAGCCCGAGGCTAGCTAAGCACCACCATCCCTGGATCTGAGACCACCCAGCGCCCATTCTGCCTTTCCCCTCCCCACTCTTTACCTGCAGGTAGAGTTGCTTGAGGTGCCAGGGGCGGGAGAGGGGGCCACCCCAGGTGTGCAGGTTACCCATGCGTTCCCAGGCCAGGAAGGCAGGACCGGTGAAGTACTCATCAATCTCTGACTGGGTCAGGCCCAAGGCCAGGTACACCTGCAGAAAAGCAGAGCCCCCACACCTATAAACACAGGAATCTCCATCTATCACTCCACGTCACAAGCACTCATTCATCACTTGTCTGGGCTGGTTACTATTGCTACTAAGCTAGAATCGGAATCCAGCCTACAGGGAGCTCACAGGCCAGGAGAACACAGACCTGTTGAGTAGGAGAAGGCACTCAGTGTCACCTTTGTGGGATGGGTGAAGATAGGGGACCCAAAGGGGCTTTCTTTGTGATCCAGGGAGAGTCTCTGTGTTGGTTATTTTTGTTTCTTTTATTATTATTATTATTATTATTATTATTATTAGTTGTTGTTGTTGTTGTTGTTGTCAACTTTACTTAAGCTAGGGTCGTCTGGGAAAAGGAACCGTCAACTGAGAAAATACTGCCCATCGATTGGCCTGTAGGCAATCCTGTGGGGCATTTTCTTGACTGATGATTGATACGGAAGGGCCCAGTCCACTGTGGGCAGCGCCATCCCCAGGCAGGTGGTTCTGGGTGTGTAAGAAGGCAAACTGAGGAAATCAGGAGCATGTCAATACAAGCAGTGTTCCTCTGCAGCCTCTGCCTCCAAGGTTCCTGCCCTGCCTGAGCTCTGCCTCCGTTTCCCTTCACAATGGTCTGTGACTGGGATGTGTGAGCCGAATGGACTCTTTCCTTCCCAAGTTGCTTTAGATCATGGGGTTTTATTATTAGCAACAGAAGGAAAACTAAGAGGTCTTGGAGCAAGCTTGGCCAAAGGGAAGGGACTTGGTCAAGACTAATGATCACTATGTAGCAGAAGATGACCTTGACTTCTTTCTTCCGTGTTTGTGTGTGTGTGTGTGTGTGTGTGTGTGTGTGTGTGTGTGTGTGTGTGTGTGTAGCCCTCGCTGTCCTGGAACTCGCTCTGTAGACCAGGCTGGTCTCGAATTCACAGAGATCCATCTACCTCTGTCTCCCCAATACTAGGATTAAGGGTGTGCACCACCACCACCCTAACCTCGAATTTCTAATCCTCCTACCTCTACCTAAGTACTGGGATTACGGAGTACAGGCATGTACCGCCATTTCCAGTTGTTACAGTAGGTTGCTGGAGTCTCATCTACAGGAAGCACCCAGATGGATTGTCCCACCCGGAGAAGCGTCAGTCCCCCCAGGGCCAGTGAGTGTGTGAGCTGGGGAGGACAGTGTGAGGGGCCAGGTTGGCACAAACCCGCTGCCAGATGGCCTCCTGGCCATTCCAAGCCAGTGCCAGGTTGATGCCATTCAGCGCCATCCAGTCAATCTCTTGCTCCCAACGGGCCCAGTCCCACCACACGAAGGAGTAGCTGTGCGTGCACACATTCTGGTAATAGCGATACCTGCAGGTAGGGGCACATTATTGGGGACATATAGGATGCCTCACTCACCCATCACCCTGGAACACCTCAGAGGCAGCCTGGCTCTGGAATACTACCCCTAGCATACACACACACACACACACACACACACACACACACACACACACACACACAACAGTGGGCAAAGGTTTCAAAGTGGCCCCTCTACTGGTCATTCCAGATTCACCCCAGGTAAAGCCAACACATAGTGCTGGAACGTCCCTCAGGGTTCCATAATCTAATAGCTATTGTGAATACATAACTTCATTTTCATCCAACATGTCCAGAGCCCTTAATGTGCGTCGTGGGGGGTCCTAGGGTGTCCGTGCAAAATTCGTCTCTGTCCTAAAGAGGGTTCCCAGTTCCTACAGTTTGATGGGGGTGGGGGGACACATCATGCCCATACAGTATGACAAATGCTAGAATAAAGGCCTGGGACTTCGGGAAGGGTCACTCCACGGCATCTTCAGAGAGGCCAAAGGAGGAGCATGGAATGCATGGATCACGAGAACGCCTTCGAAATTCTACCATCACGCTCAGAGTCTCAATCCACAGCGCGGCGGGCGTCATTATTTGCAGCCGGGGCTCTGGGAAGCTAAGTGACTTTGCTTAAGAACACACATCTAGTTAGTGGGGGAAGCTAAAATCTGAAGGCACAACGGTGGGACCCCAGAGCCAGCACTTCCTTCTCGGTCTTCCAGGTGTCTGTAGCTGCGGCTGTCCCCACCCCAGCGCGGTGAGCCTCACCAACAGTGGGTGCCCCGGGGCTACAGGCGGCTGCCCCAGCCACTTAGGACCTAGAGCGTTAATACCTGTTGGGCGTGGCCTCGGTCAGCTCTTCGGCCACGGCGGGCAGCGGCCGCGGCAGGTGCAGCTGAGAGCCGGACCAGGCCACCTGGCAGCCGCAGAAGTCGCGCAGGTAGCGGTGCAGCCCCGCGGCGGCCGCCACCCCGGTGGAGCCGCGCACACGCACCGGCGTCCCGCCGCCGCCGCTCAGGCTGTAGGTGTCCAGACCTGACTCGGCTGCCAGCGCGCGCTCGACCGACACCAAGAAATCGGCCGCCGGCCCGGGTCCCAGCAGCCGGGCCACCAGCTCCCGGACGGCCTCCGCCTCCCGAGCCTCGTCGCCCACCGAGCCCCCGGCCAGGAGTAGGAAGCCCAAAACCACGGCCAGCACCGCGGCTTCCATGATGCCAACCGTGCGGAGGACCGCTCACAACCAACACCAGCTCAGGGCCAGGGGCGGTGCTGCCCGCATCCAATCGGCTGCGGACTTCGGGCCACGTGGCCTGAAGGATGGGGCTCCAGCTACCCGTCTGGAAACTTGGTTTCCGGACCCAGACCCTCTGGGTCTGCTGACCACGCGCGTGCCTGGAGGACGCGTGACCCCATCAGACATCCACGGCCATTTGGAACGCTGCGCATGCTCAAGCCCTTTTGGGGTGCAGCCCCGCTTTCTTCTGCAAGCCGCCTTTCATCCAGCCAGCCACTCTTTTAAGTGCTGAGAATTGAAACCAGCCAAGGACTCCACCACTGAGCTCTATCTTCAACCCCTCGTCTAATAACTATGTATTTGGATTTTCTTTCGTATCAGACACTGCCACTGCTACTGCTGGACGGGTGAAGGATGGCCTCAGCTGTCCTTTGTGGCCAGAGACCTGGAAACCAAACCAGAATTTCCCTGGGTGAGGAGATAGGTCCGTGGGAAAAGCACTTGCACCTGAGGACCTGCGTTCGAATCTGCAGGACCCGCATAAAGCTGGCCCGGGAGTGGGAGTCTGCAATTCCAGTGTTCGGTGATATGAGAGAAAGGGACAGCTGGCTTGGTGTACAAAGTGACGCACCAGGAAGACACCCTGTCTCAAGGTAGAAGGTGACACCTGAGATTGTCCTCTGCTGACACAAAAACAGACCTCTCACCTCAAAAGGACGGAGACAGTTTATTCTGGAGCCAAATATGAGCGACCATGGTCTGGGAACAGGTTTAGGTCACCCCAAATGTCCATGTTCCAGTGTGGAAAGGATTTGATGAAGTTTTCACAGTAACAGAGCAAAGAAAGTCCTAAGTCAAGACACTTTTCAGATACATTGCTGGGGACGTCAGAGGTGGGTTACAGTGAATCTGAGACCTCTGTTACAGGCTTTGGATGACGGTCTTGGCTTCTGGGATGATGGAAGCTGCTGGTCTGCTAAGTTAATACAGTCCAAAGGAAAACCAGTGTTCTGTGCATTCCAAAAGCCTTACCTAATTGTCAGAAAGCTGTTAGGTCAAGGACAGAGGAGGGCAGGTAACAATGGCTGTGGAGAAGGCTGAAGATGACCCAAGGTAATTTGGTTCTGGACCGGCAACATCTCAGATTCTTCAGAGCCTTGAAGTTCTGCTCAGCTGCTCAGCACACGGAAGCATCAGGAGAAACTGCTTTCCCAGAGCTCTGATTCAACCCTCTGGCCATCACGTGTGTGTCAGACACCCACACTCCCACACATACATGAGCGAGCACACACACACCATGCACACAGAAAGAAAAGAGTTTCTCCCAGGCCTGTAAGGCTATGAAGAACACCGAGGTCTCCAAAGGGGCACTGACATTTTATCCGAAACCCAAGGATGAATAGGCATTTACAAGGAGGAAAGAGCGAGCCTTCCAGGCAGAGGGATGCAGGGATAGATGGGATCGGGGAAGGTGATTTTAGCTTGGGGGATTTGAGGAAGTAAAATGTGACCACATGAGCCCAGCTTGGCTAGCGGGAGGGTCAGGAAGGGCTTTCCAGCGGATCCTCAAAGGGCTCTGGAGCAGAATCAGAACTGTCACTTTACCCAACGGGCCTGGGAAGTGAGGGGGTGACTTGGGTAAGATCCAGCAGCAGCAGGAACAGCTGGAGGAGAATGGAAACTTAGTTCCCAGAGCTCGGTATGGGCCCCAAAAGATGTTCCAAGCCTTGCAGATGCTCAAGCTGCCAGCCTCAGAGGGCAGGGCGAGGGTGACTGGGTGACTGGCGATGGGGGGGGGGGGGCAGAGGGCCGTGGGCTCCTGAGAAAGACTTGATTTTCTAAGAGGATTCTGGAGCCCGGTGTGGTAGCACGTGCCTGGGATCCCTTTTGGGAGGCTGAGGAAGGAAGAGCTGGGGTTCAAGACCTGGGTGAGTTTCGGACCAGCCCTGCTGGGGTGGGGGTGGGGTTTAGAGAGACAGTGCTGTTCCTTTCTCTCGAAGTTGTTCCCGGGGTGGGAGAGACCCCAGCTTCTTGTCAGTTCCCTTTAGCTGGAGATTCTCATCCTTTCCGAGGAAGCAGCCCAATCTTAAACTGGAAAGGAAAGATTTGCTCCTGGGACCTCGCCCTACCCTATCCTCATGTAACATGCTGTATGTGGAGGCCAGAGGTCATGTCTTCCTCTTGCCCTCCACCTTCTTTTTTGAGACAGGGTCTCTCCCTAAACCCGGAGCTTTCCAGTTCTGCTAGGCTGACTGGCAGAGGGCCCTAAGACTCTGCCTGTCTCCCCCGGCCCCCCTCCCAAGTGCTGGTGTTAGAGATGAGAACCTTGTATACATGGCTTTTACGTGTGTCTTCTCATCCAAATTACACAAAAGACATCGTGGTGGGTGGTTTCAATGGCAACTTGCCACAAATTAGGATTGGAGAGTGACAAGTCAGTTAGTTCCTCCTCCGGTGCCTGCCTTGAGTTCCTGCCTCAGCTTCTCACAATGGTGGACTGTAGCCTATGAGGTAAAACAAAGCCTTTCCCCACCAAGTGCTCCCTCCCCCTCCCCGCCAAGACAGGGTTTCTCTGTGTAGCCTTGGCTGTCCTGTAACTCACTCTATAGACCAGGCTGGCCTGGGACTCACAGAGATCTGTCTGCCTCTGCCTCCCAAGTGCTGGGACTAAAGGTGTGTGCCGGCCCCAGTCACTGAGCCGCCGCCGAGGACTCAGCTGCCTCCCCCTCGAACCCCCCCACTTCCTGACGCTCCCCCCCCCCCTTCTCCCGCAGCCGCCTTCCGCAGGCCGTTTCCACCAAGGAAAAGGAATCGGATCGTATGTCCGCTATCCAGAACCTTCACTCTTTCGACCCCTTTGCTGATGCAAGTAAGGGTGATGACCTGCTTCCTGCTGGCACTGAGGATTATATCCATATAAGAATTCAACAGAGAAACGGCAGGAAGACCCTTACTACTGTCCAAGGGATCGCTGATGATTACGATAAAAAGAAACTAGTGAAGGCGTTTAAGAAGAAATTTGCCTGCAATGGTACTGTAATTGAGCATCCAGAATATGGAGAAGTAATTCAGCTACAGGGTGACCAGCGCAAGAACATATGCCAGTTCCTGATAGAGGTGAGCTCAGACCCTGCCTCTGTACTGTCAGCCTTTTTAAGGTGTGGGATTCCTGGTGTTGGGGTCAGAAGGGTGTGTGTGACCTCAGTTGAACCAGGATTGACAGGATAACAATCCCTCCTTATTGAGATTCCTCTGTCTGGTGTAGTAGTTGTAAACTGGTGGTTAGTGTCGTTCACAGACTTAACCCCTGTCCTCTAAAACTTTCATCCTTTTCTCTCTGCAGATTGGACTGGCTAAGGACGACCAGCTGAAGGTCCATGGGTTTTAAGTGCTTGTGACTCTCTGAAGCTTAAGTGAGGATTTCCTTGCAATGAGTAGAATTTCCCTTCTGTCCCTTGTCACGAGTTTAAAAACCTCACAGCGCCGGACGGTGGTGGCTCACGCCTTTAATCCCAGCACTCGGGAGGCAGAGGCAGGTGGATCTCTGTGAGTTCGAGGCCAGCCCGGTCTCCAAAGCGAGTTCCAGGAAAGGCGCAAAGCTACACAGAGAAACCCTGTCTCGAAAAACCAAAAAAAAAAAAAAAAAAAAAAAAAAACCTCACAGCTTGTATAATGTAATCATTTGGGGTCCGCTTTTAACTTGGACTAGTGTAACTCCTTCATGCAATAAACTGAAAAGAGCCATGCTGTCTAAAAAAAAAGGTGTGTGCCACCACACCTGGCTTCCTTTTTTCATTAATAAAACTGTTTGCTGGGTGTTGGAGGCAGAGGCAGGTGGATCTCTGAGTTAGAGGCCAGCCTGGTCTACAGAATGAGTTCCAGGACAGACCAACAAAACAAAACAGAAACCAAACCAAAACAAAACAAACCGTTTGAGCTGGTGTTAGGAGCATAACTTCAAAACCGTTTTGTTGAACTCAGAAGCCGTGTAATGTGCCTTGGAACACTGAGAAACATTAGGCCTCAGAAGCAAGCTCCAGGCAGGCCGGCACCTCAGACACCAGCCTAGCCAGGGATAGGCCTTGATATGCTAATGACGTTGACGAGCTAGTGAACCAGCCCCACGATGTGACCCCTGAGAGCACAAAGCTATTATTGCCCAGTGAAACGATGCAGACATTGGAATTTTGGTAATAGTCTCTAGGATGGCCCTGCCCGTGCTGTGCTCCAAGCCACGGCTTCTCTAGCCTCTAGGTTGATATACATCGGCAAGAGGACTTGAGACTCTGTGTGTGGCCACAGCTTCAGTGACCACTGGACTTGAGGCACTGTTGCTGGGCCCACACACTCTCACCTAACAGCGCTAACCATTGACCTACACTCTCAGGGACCTCCTGAACTTCCATTAGTGCCATCCTCCCACTTGCTACGCCTGAAGGACTCGGCGGACTTGGGTAGAGCCCGCAGGCTTCTGAAGCACCCTCCCTGGAGAAGATTTCCCAGTGGAATCTTGCAGCATTTCTGCTCAAACAGCGGTCCCCACTTGGTGGGATGTCTGTTCATCTCTTATATTAGCGTGACAGTGTAAGGAATGATTGTGTGAATAAACCGAGCGCATTCAAAAGACACAGCTTGTGTGGACGTCCTAATTGCAGAACGCCCTATAGCCCACAGGCCGAGCTCTCCACGGCTGAGCATGGCAGCACCTGCCTTTAATCCCAGAGTTTGGGAGGCAGAGACAAAGCAGGTCTTTGTGAGTTCAAGAACAACATGGTCTCAAAGCTAGCCAGGGCTCCATATCGAGACTTATCTCAAGCACACCAGTCTTACCTGTATGCCTTTAGTCTTGAAGGAGGACGAGATAGGTTCATTACTCGAGGGGAGGTTAGCAGAAAAGCAAAAGCAGCTGACCCAAAGTATCGACATCAGCATAGCTGGGGATGCCAGGCTTTCAGCCTGCATCGGCCCCAAGGGCTTCTTAGAAAAACCAGTTTTAAAGGACTATTTCAGCAGCGTGGGGACATCATCTAGGGGGTTGGTTTACCAATGAATTCCCTGCTCATCACAATATCTCCGCACTGTTGAAGGGCGGGGACAGGAGGATCATTGGGGCCGGCTGGCTGCCCGCTTAGCTCTAGGTTCAGGGAGAGGTCTCCAGGAAAGCAAGCAAGCACAGAGTGCGAGACACTGATGTCTTCTGGCCTGCACACATACAGATGGGTGGTCGCACATGTATACACATACACCACACACATGCATAGAAAAAAAATTAGAGTGCTATCATAAACATCGTGATTATTCTAAAGCACTCAGTGGTTCTCAGCCTTCCTAATGCTGCGACCCTTTAATACAGTTCCTCATGTTGTTGTGACCCTCAACCATGAAATTGTTTCATTGCTACTTCATACTGTAATTTTGCTACTGTTATGAATCACAATGTAAATATCTAATATGCAGGTCATCTGATATGTGACCCTATGATGGAGTCATTTGACCGCAGAGGGGTCTCAACCCATATGTTGAGTGCCGGGCGGTGGTGGCGGAGAACCATGGTTCTGAGGAGACACTTGTGTCCCTCCCTTTGTCTAGTAGACGTCTGAGACAACGTCCCTGAAGAAATTTGAACTTTCCCAAGGATCTCATGCCGGGAGCTGCAAAGGCTGAGGCCCTCTGGGCAGACAGGAAGATTTAAAATCTGTTAGGAGTCATGGCAGGACAGACTGACACTGAGGTCACAGCAGGACAGACTGACCCTGAGGTCACTGCAGGACAGATTGACCCTGAGGACAGTTTGTTATGGAGATGCTGGCTAGGGCTGGGTTGATCTCCCTCCCAATCTGACCAAACTAGAGCAAATCCACTTCCCTTTATCAACTTCCTTCCCTCCCTCCCTCCCTCCCTCCCTCCCTCCCTCTCTCCCTCTTTCTTTCTTTCTTTCTTTCTTTCTTTCTTTCTTTCTTTCTTTCTTTCTTTCTTTCTTTCTTTCTTTCTTTCTTTCTTTTCTTTCTTTCTTTCTTTCTTTCTTTTTCGGCCTGCCTTTGCCTCCTGAGTGCTGGGATCAAAGGTGTGTGTCACCATGCCTGGCTCAATTTGTTTTCTAATTTCTACTTGTTTTGAGACAAAGTCTCATTCTATAGGTCAAGTTGGCCTTGAAGTCAAGGCAATCCTTCCGCCTCAGTCTCCCAAGTTCCTGTGATTACAAGCATGCCTAATTTCTTTTTAAATACATGGAAATTGTGGCGGGTTTATGGACCTGTATACTGATAGCAGTTTGGGCTCAGGAGTTCAAGACCAGCCTGAGCAACAGCAAAATCTCAAGAAACAAAAGGGGTGTGGGGCAGACAGGGAGGGTACAGTAGCATGGCTCAGCAGGCCGAGGCACTCGCCACAAGGCCTGGCAACTTGAACTCAGTCCCCGGGACCAACATGGTGGAAGAGGAAGAAGAAAACTGATTCTGGACAGTTCTCCCCTGACCTCCACACATATCAGTTAGGACACGTGCACAGCTGCACCAGAGTGGGCTGCTGGCGATGGGAGGCGTGTCTTGTTTTATTTTGTTTTTTCGAGACAGGGTTTCTCTGTGTAGCTTTGGAGCCTGTCCTGGATCTCACTCTGTAGCCCAGGCTGGCCTCGAACTCACAGTGATCTACCTGTCCCTGCCTCCTGAGTGCTGGGATTAAAGGCATGAGCCACCACTGCCCGGCGGGAGGCGTACTTATAATTATTTAATTAGTTAACTAATTAATCGTGAGTGGGTGTTTTGCCTGCCTATGTGTCTATGCACCAGATGCTTGCCTGGTACCTGCAAGGCCAGAAAAGGGCATCAGATCCTTTGGAACTTGAGTTACAGAGGTTTGTGAGCCACCATGAAGGTGCTGGGAATGGAACCCAGGTCCTCTGGAAGAGCATCCAGTGCTCTTAAACACTGAGCACTGAACTATCTCTTTTTCAGTCCTATTTTTTTCTTTTTTTTGAGACAAAGTCTCATCATGAAGCTCTGGATGGCCTGGAACTCATTGTGTACAGGCTGGCCTTGATTCACAGAGATCTGCTTTCCAAGTACTCGGTTTAAAAGTGTGGGCCACATAACTTGGTCTCTATTATTATTATTATTATTATTATTATTATTATTATTATTATTTTGGCTTGACAGGGTGTCTCTGTGTAGCCCTGGCTGTCCTGGAATTCACTCTGTAGACCAGGCTGGCCTTGAACTCAGAGATCTGCCTGCCTCTGACTCTCAAGTGCTGGGACTAACGGCGTGCAACACTGCTGCCTGCTCTTTCTTTCTTTCTTTCTTTCTTTGGAGACAATCTCACTGACTAGCCCTGACTGGCCTGGAGCTTCTGTGCAGATGAGGTCAGTCTTGGATTTACTGTGGTTCTCCTGCTGCTGTTCCTCGGTGCTGGTATCTAGGCTGCACCACCAGGGCTGGCACAGAACTCACTTTTATAACAGGGCCTTGAGTACATCTTGGTCCTTTTAGTGTGTGACAGGCTTTATTACTCACGTGTGAAGCAGCTGCCTGGGGGTCTCAGCTTGCTCTCCATCTCTCTGTTTTCTTTTGTTTCTGGCCATCCTGTCCCTCTGCTTATGCACTCTGGAATAACTCAGGATTCTTTCTGCCCTGCCAACCTGCTTGCTTACCTGACAGGCCAGCTGCTAC